TGAGTTTTTGGTGTTCACAGGAGGGTTTCATGTCAGGTTTTTGTAGAAGAGTGGATTGCATTAAGTATTAAATCTATAAATAGTTGGGGCAGAGTGTTTGAGCAGGCTAACGCGTGTGCACAGCACCGCACATTGCCCAGGCAACCTGATAACCTAAGTTATAGATGATAAAATGATTACGAGTTCGCGTCCCAGTGCCGTGGGGGGTTTTTAACTCTGGCATTAATCTCCTGTCATCACTCACTGGCCCAGAAAAACCCTGTATAGCCTAAAAGGCGAGAACTAAAAAAAAAAAGTGTATATGAGCCCACTTTGGAAAATAAATTAAGATTTTCAGTTTATTAGGAACAGAAGAGAATTAATAACATGAATTTTAAACAAAAAATGAACTTATCAAGAAAATTATTTAGTTTGGACAACGTTAGGTTTAAACCATGTTGAAAAAGCAGCAAAGCAATTTTTTTTTTTTTTTTTCATTTCATTAGCATTCATGTAGGATATCTTCTTCAGACCACAGTATGTTTAATAAAAACTATTGTTAAAAATAATTTAAAAAAAAAATCATTAGTTGCTTTTCAATTTAATCCATCTTGATTGATCAATGAGTACGTAACTATTTTCATTAGAAGCAATCATCGACAGTCAACATTACATCCACAAATGAATATTGTTTCATAAATCTATAAATGAATATTGTTTTAAGTAAAAGGATTTAAAGAAAAAACAAAAACAAAACAAAAAAATGCTATCGTATTCATTACAAACAAAAATAAAACAGGAAAGATACCTCTACTCATGGAGATGTTGTTTACAATTCTTAAATAACTAAGGATTAAAAATTATCCAGCTACTCTAAATTACTCTCTGATCTAATGACTTCTTGAAACTACTCTAGAAATAGACATTGGCATAAATAGTTAATAAATATTTTGCTTTGTTTCCTGATCTACCAAATTTTAAGAATTGCATGCAACAAATACAGTACTTTTCAATTGTTTTTGTTCAATAGTTTTTTAATGGAATTTTTCATTATCGCAACACCTGGTTCAGAACTACAGCCATTCTTGTTCTTTATTTTCTTTTATTCATCAGATTCATTCATTAAGTTTAATAATCACTATATTATACAAAATAATTTTTCTATTGTAAGATGTTTTTTTTTTATTTGTTTTTTTTTCCACTCCGAGGAGCCATTCGTAACACTGCTCCATAAAATAAAAATAAAGCTTAAAAATTTACAAATTATATTCACAATTATTCCAGTATTTTCCTGTAATATAAGAAATTGTTTCTTGTTTTTTTTTTTTTATTGAAAAATATATATAGCGCTTCTTTAGGAAATGGTTCATATGTTAATTGGAGGTTGCAGTCCATGCAAAAATATAGGCAGTTGATACTGAATTCAGTACAGGATAATCTTGCCATTTTTAGTTTATTTATTCTTGTTTTGTCGACTTATACATGTAAATTAAAGATGAATGAAAAATAATTTCCAAAATCATATCATTAGGAGACTGTAAAGGTCAATAAACTACAATTTTTCTAAGTTTTTATTACCCTACATTAACAAAAACTCTTATATATTAAAAATATCTTATAGAAATTCCATTAATATAAAATATTTGTATAAAATTTATTAAAACAGAAATGGTGAGTATTAAAATGTTATTACAATATCACAAATTGATAAAATCATACATTATATAACTAAGTTATACTGAATTATGTAATATTTCCTTATGACTGTTAAAACAACTGTCAATTTGGAAAAAAAAAAGAAGAATATCACAGTTAAAAATAAAAAATTTATATTTAAAAATATCGGTATTTCCTATTTATTCTTTAAGATTAAATAGGAATTACATCCTAATATTGTTAAATATAATAAAATAAAATAAAAGACCAACAATCTATTGCACCAAGGAAAACTTATTTCGATAACTTATTTTAATCACTGGTACTTTTTATAATTATATTTTTAAGTTATATAACTAAGAAACAGTGGTGGGTTTATTATTTAATTTTTGAATCAGCCTGATTATACTTCATTATTTTTTTTAATTTTTGGATATCGTTTATAATGACAAATAACATCAAGCGACGGCAATATCAAGAAGCAAGAACCCGAGAATCAAGAAACATTTTGTCTTAACTTTGACAGGAGCTAAACAGTTTATTAGCTGAAAATATGGGTTGCATTTCTCAGGGTATTAACAACATAGCAAAATACTGCCTTCTCTGAACTTAAAGAAAGAAAAATAAAAAAAAATACTTCAGGATTACTATAACTACCAAGGTGTCTAGATGACAACAAAAACAATATTAGCATTAGCTTATAGTACATTGCACAACGAAAGGAATGATACAAGATAAAGAAAAAATATATTAATATTAAAAGTCATAAAAATTTTAAACTATTATTCAGATTAAAAAATATTAAATTTTTTGTTATTGTGTCATGTTAAAAAAATAAATGTCCTTAACTCGTTTGCAGAAAAGAAATTCTATATGAATGAGAAACGATAACATCCTATAATGAAATAATTAACCCCCATGGCTATTATAAACGATATCCAGTTTACTATTTTAAATACTGTTCTGTAATTTTTAAAATACTAATAACATCGACAAGTTATAAAGATAGGATATTAATCGAATCTTGCTTCAAAATTACAACTTTTAGTTGCAATTTAGAAATAAAAAATAACAGTCATGATATTTAAAAATTAACAAATCATGTTGGAGCTTCTTCCTGTATTTTAATGGAACAGTTGCTTTCATCAATGAGGATAGGAATCGAAGATCACATTAGATGATTAACGGGATAAAACATAATATTTAACATGATTAAAGAATTTGATTGATTCTGATTAATTACCATAACCGTTATATATAGTAATTATTACTTTTGACTAGCTATGATAAAAAATACAAACAAATTAGCTCATTTTAGTCATGCCTGCAAAAAGCTAAGATTGTGCAAATAAGCAAAAAGTGATAGATAAAGAAAAACTAATACATGCAAATTCAGATTGGATAAGCTCAAACATGAAACTCAAAAAAAAGTTTAATTATCCTCCAAAAGTAAAATTCTCCATGACAACAAAAAAATAAAGAAAATTTTATAGTTATCAAATAACACAGTCTATGTTGTTATAATAATAATTCATTAAAAAAATAGTTAATTAATAATGGTAACAGAGCATATAGATGTCAAGATATCGTTCTAAGCTCCTAGAAACATCTCCTGAAAAGACAAGATCAGAATTTTTTTAATGCCTTATAAGATTTTTAAGCTTAATCGCCAAGACTAAATCTTTGATAGAACTAAATTAATTAGGAATTAAGTTATTTCATTAATAATATCGGTTATATGATATAAGTAGCTTTTGTTACGTTTTGTTGTTACGCTTTGGTTAAATTGCATCAATTTTAGCCCTGCTCACCAGGCCAATAATTATTTCAGATAAATGAGAAATTGCTTTTTGATTAGTTTAAAATTCGCCATGCAAAAGTTTTCCTTTTTTTATGAAAAAAACCCTTAACCATTAAAAAGAATAGAAAAAAATATCCAATAAATTAGGTTAGAGATTCAAAGAAGAAAAAATTGTTCTAAATCTTTAGCAACATTAAAAAGTGAGTAAAACTGTTTACTGATATTTTAAAATAACATAAGGGCCAGATATGAAATTTAGTTATCTTCAGTATATTTTATATTAGAATAATGAGATTCATTTTCTTAAGATAGGGACTTGCATCTAATTTGATGAATCCTTCACAACTATCGTGAAGTTACAGAGCCAAATCCCTTTATTATGTCAGAGAGACATCTATGATAGTCCAATTTCATAGATCAACAGCATAAATTGAAGCAGATATGTATATAAATATTTAAGTATACATAAAAACGTGCATATATTTTACTTAATACTGAGCGTAATCAGAGTATGAAGGAACCCACCTAACATCATCGATTTGTTACTTTAAAGAATTCTCAATACGTTAACTTATAAAATAATTTTTATTTCTACATATTTTGACATAAAAACTAAAAAAAAAACTGAGAAGGGATCAATGATCGAGTATTTGTTAACGAATGTCCTATAACTATTTGATTTAAAAACTATAATAATAATATCGTACTTAATGGAATACTAATTTTTGATTATAAGAGAACACAATGATTGTCAAACACACCTACTCTTTTTTTTTTTTTTTTGGCAAGAAAATAGAGATAGAAAGAAATATTCAGTCTTTATAGGCAGCAATATTATTCAGTTGATTAAAACATTTTTAATGGAAATCAAATAGCAAGTTAAGTTAATACCTTTTTAATGTTGTAGCAAAAAAAAAGAAGAAATATAACTAAGGAAAGAAAGATTATAATATAAACATACTAAATAAAACTGAGACCAATGCATAATTCAGGATTTAATTATTTTATTTTTATTATAATGGTAATTATATAAAATGATGTTCAAGTGCTCCTTGAAGGCATCTTAGAAAAAACAAAACAAAAAGAACCGTAATTACAGAAACAATAATGATTTTAGGGATAATCTTTTTAAATTTTTTTCTCGAGGCCTACTGTATATATGTTATAATTTAAAAATAGTAGATCCTTCTATAAACAGGTGAAACGATGCCATCGGTGAACTTAGCATTTGGTTTAGGAACTTGCTCTTCTTGTTGCATAACATTGCTGTAATCATTTCTTTTTTTTTTTTATTCTTTTTTTTTTGCTTTTAGGAATAACATTTTTATATTTTTTTTCTTGACATGATGCTTTTATTTAGTAGCTGTTTTAAAAAGTGAACATGTGATTATTTAAGTATTTATCTTAGTTCATATCACTCATAGAAACAAATATGGACTAATGAAGAAAAAAAAATCCCCTCTCCCACTGGATACATCAGTGCAATTCAACATAAAGTTTTTAATATAAAAAAAAGATATTAAAATAGAAAAGATAAAATATATTTATATATATAACCCTTCTTTTCTTAGTACTCAATGTTATACTGTTATCTTTTTTCTAAAAGCTATTTTAAAATTTGCATCTAAAGGTAAAGGAGTATAGATCATTAACCAAATAAAAGGATAAGAAAAGAAGTAGGTATGACCAAAGGGTATTAGGAAATCTATGAGGAACTCTTGGGTTCTTGGGTAAGCCCAAGGCGATTTAGAATTCCCTGAGGTATTTGGAACGGGAGGTCGGCAGGGAGTGGGCGCACCTTATATTGGTTGTAGGCTATCCCTGCAGCCAGTCCTGCGGCGAAGAGCGCTGCGTGGGGGATATACTTAGCCAAGCCAAAGTTCAACTTGATTCTCATCAGTGCCTGCATGACTCCAAGTTTCCTGTCAGAATAAGGAGGATATCGAGCACTGGAAAAAGGAAAAAAAAAATTGCAAATTAATAAAATTTGTGCAAATATAAACTTCAATGGTGTCACAGTCCTAAATTAAAATCGTTTATTCTCTAGCAGTACGTCTATGTGTAAAAAGAGAGATATTAAATGAAATGAAAAAATATTTTATTATTCTGGGACTGTTGTCCCTTTAGAACAAAATATAAATACAGATTGTATGTCTGTGTGGTTACAATTAGATTGTATATTTACAATAAGAGTTGACTAAAGATAAAAATACTGAAAAGAGAAAGAAAAGAACAAGTAAATTGTACATATATATGAGAAACTAAAATAACCTTAATAAATTGAGGTAGTCTCTGGCTGTGCTTAGATATTTCTCTATATTTTTATAGAGTATATTTCACAATCAGTCGGATTGAGAAAAGAGTAGGTGCTTAAAGAGGAGAGGTTTCAAAGAGGAAACTGATTGAGCGTGTCGAATATCAGCAGGAATGGAATTCCACAGGGAGGCGGCTTGTACTGTAAAGGATTCGTCAAATGCAGCAGTTCGGTGAGGAGGAGGATAGAGGTCGGAAGTATGAGATCTAGTGGGACGGGATTGGATGGAGTATTTGAATTGTAAGCTGTGAAAAATATAGGAGGGTCGATGAGTTCTAATGATTTGGTACAGAAATGTGGTTAGGAAATACTGACGGTGATAGCATGGGTAGAGTCACCACAACTCAGTGTAATACTGGGTGATAGGCATATCTCTTGAGATTCCGAAAACAAATTGTAGTGCGCAATTCATTAGGCGTTTAAGTTTGGCCTCGGAATCTCCCGAGAGTCCACCATACACCATACAGCCATAGTCGAAGTGGGGGAAAACAAGGGAGGAAACTAGGAGTTGACGGGACTTATATGGAAGGAGATATCGTAGATGATTGAACTGTTTTAGGGTGGAGATAGTGCAACGGGAAATTTGGGAGATGTGAGGTTTCCAGGATAGGGATTGATCAAAAGTATCACCTATGGTGTGGGATGCGTATATCGTATGTGATAAGACAGCAGTACATGGAGGAATGTGAGAGAAAGAAGACCTTCTGGAGTAATCAGCTTTGCTGGAGTCAGCGACTGACATCCAACATCCCGAAGTCTTTAAGAAGGAAGCTGGGAGATGTCCAAAAGGAAATTAGGGAGTCTATCCTAGCTCGAGGACAATATTTCGAGAGGACATGACAACAAAACTACTCTGTGTTTGTGATTAATCCATCTTGACAGAGGATATAACACTAGTTGGGGATATAGTACTAGATTTACTACTATATTAGATATAATAGATTTCTTTCTTTTTGTGTAATGATGTAGTCAATGGAAATTTTTATTTTATTTTTTTAAGTCTGTGAGAGATTTCTTTTATTTTATTGTAATTTAAACCGATTAAGATTCTTTTATTTGTATTCTTCTTTCAACACTAAGGTTTTTTGGAAAAGCTGGCTGGTAAAGAACCATCTGCAGAGTATAGCGGAATCTATTATTTTGGATTCACTAGGAATCCTGCACCATCACTTTTATTAATTCTGGCCATTTCTTTATCAATTCCAAGAACAGAATGAAGAAGGAAAGAAATGAAGAGAAAATTATAACAATTAATGAATACACTATATTTTGTACTGTCAATGATAATCCTGTAAAACTTTTTTGTTTTCTCTTATTAAATATTATCGATTAAGACTGATCATACTGATACGCTGGGTCATTTAGCAACTCAACACAGTAAAGCAGCCGAACAATTATATTATACTTCTCTCTTGTTCTACTATTTTAGGTAAAAACAATTAATAAATTTAGAGTTGATTAGTTTGCATCTCACTTAATGAAATAAACCGATTCAAAAGGTTTTCACTCTGTAATGATTGCACTTCTGATAGATAAATGGTCAACACCAAGTTATCTATCATTAAGAACATTAAACCATAAACAAGAGTAAAAAAGAAAGAACAAACATGAAATAAAAATAAGAGAACAGACAAATATATGATAAATAATATCTTCGGTTTATTACAAAGATTCATTAAGTAACATTTTAATGAATTTGAAGTTTATGATTCATTAAAGAAATATTAAAATAGAAATTTTATAATTTATTTTTTGTTTGCAATCCTAAATTTGTATTCTATTTTTGATAATTATTTTTCTGATAAATATTTCATTCATCGCCCTATTACTAATCCTTGCTTATTCCTTTCAAAACAACAATTTCTTTGTTATTAAGTACAGCTATATTTTTCATTACTATATTTCTGCATATAGATAAGTTAAAGTAAACAAAAAATTTCATGATCACTATACTTCAACTTACTATATATTATGTAATTAAAATACTTAACATATACATAGTAATAAATAATCCAGCAATATCAGAAAACCGACATAATCGATAATTTATGGCCGGATTAGTGAGATCCTACCGTAGTTGATAAAAAAAAAAATAGGCTAAATAAATCTTGTCATTGATGTTATCTGCTACATAATTGATTGCTGAAATATAGCTTTTCCTTTCATGACATTATCAAAATTAAAACAAATCGAGTTTTATAAACTGGATGGATAAATTAAGTCATTTAGTTCAAAATTGAGAAATCTGGCAACTTTTTTCTTATTTTCCTGAGGAAATGACCAAATTTTGTTACCTAATCTTAAATTTATAAACGATTTCATTCATCGCCCTATTACTAATCCTTGCTCATTCCTTTCAAAACAACAATTTCTTTGTTATTAAGTACAGCAATATTTATCATTACTATATTTCTGCATATAGATAAGTTAAAGTAAACAAAAAATTTCATGATCACTACACTTCACCTTACTATATATTATGTAATTAAAATACTTAACATATACATAGTAATAAAAAAACTGAAACCACGACATACATCGTGACTTTTTGCATACTATCGTAGTTAAACAAAACACTTAATTTTATAAACTTGCAAGTACATAGAATATGAGTTAAGCTAACCTCACTAAGTTAGTTTTATTAACCATCTGATAAACTAATCCAGTGAAAGTAATCATTAAGTAGCAGATAGTGAATTTTGGCATTCCACTTCAACCTTATTTATAGAACAAGAATTTCATTAGATAACTTTTTGCTCTGTAAAGTTAGAACATCGTGCATTTAGTTAATTTATTTTTTACATATAAAAGGATTTGTATTATTATTTTTATGCATCTAATGAGTTATTGTATCGATAAATATGATCGAAATTAACAACCACCTACCTTCAGGTTTAAATCAACCAAAAGTGTATTTAGTGAATTTTTGCAATAAATTGACGATATGCACAATAATTTTAATATCTCTTTATTTTAGATTTACTAGTTCATTATTTATTCATTTTTCAATTTCTATATTCGTCAACACTCATTTTCTTTATCTGTTAACCTACAGTTATCAAATGTAATCTTTACCAGTTTGTTATACACTCATTTCTTATCTTTTATCACAATCTGTTTACTTTTAAGTTACATGCTATATTCTCCTTTGTTTTCTATTTTTATTCATACTTATTTTCTATTTTTGTTTGTATCTTCTATATAATACTTGATATTTTAACTATACTGTCACCCACTATATCTCTGATGTAATCTTATTATTTCTTTATCAGACAACTGTTTTTTATTTAAAATCTAGTTATAATTCATTTATTTTATTTTCACCATGTGCCTTTTATATTTTGTATCTTTTGTAGCCCTGATGATGACCTACAAAGTGGGTCAAAACGTCCGGGTAACAATTAAAAATATTATTTTCTAGTCATATCATTCAGGTTCGTTGCCATTTTCTCATAACTTTTTAATAAAATATTAGGCCAAAGGTCACCAAATGTACACAGTTTTTGCATCCTGTATTATTTATTCGATGTTTCGGCTTCAGGGGCCGATGATAGATTTTAGAAATTTTATGAAGCGGTGCATGGTAGGTAGATGATAACAATTAAATAAAATTGAATTTGGACTATTTATATAACTGATAGTTGTTAAATTAATATGTGTTTAATAAGAATGCATTTTGAACTATAAAAACTGAATTAAAATTAGTTTGCAGGATCTTGAAAATGGATCCTAAAGGCGGGTGAAGTGGAAAGGGAAAAGAAGAACACGTACGATAAATGTATCCCTTTCCTAAAAGAGAAATTCCGTGAGACCTTTGGAGAGAGAGAGTTCACCGTGAGAGGCCTCTGGTTTGGGTCTCGCGGAACTATCCCAAAAAGAACAAGGAGCTTCCTCGAGGAACTAGGTGTCGACATTAAGGACGTAGTGAGGTTGGCTGAAAATATAGTCCTCGACTCCCTGGGAATCATTCACCACCACGTGCATGGCTAGCCCGAGAGTTTTAATTTATGTATTTATTTATTTATTTAATGAATAATTGAAAACAATAGAGATAAAGAGAGAGAAGTGAGAGAAAGGGAAACTAAATGTTAAAAAAAAAAAAAAATCATGAACAATGAAAGGAAGAAAAAAGGAAAAAAAATAAAAATGTACTGTATATTTATATATAAGTTCATTTATTGTCCTAAGGATAGAAGAGTATGCTGTGTATATAGCAACCCAATATAATTGGGCAGCAATCCTTTATAATTTATGAAAATAAAGTGTTTCTCTCCTTATATTAAAAATACTATTTTTTAAAAATTTAATATTTATTTGATCGAACCCCCTGACCAACTCCTTCTCATATATCACGGTCAACCATCTCTACATCACAATAATTTTAAAATTTAGCAATAATAATATTTCCACTCTTATAGCTTCAGTGATGAAAAATATATGTAATCATCACAAGATGAATACAATAAATCATTTACCTGGCAATTTTTTCACCGAGACTGTTGTAATTCTTGATGATAGTACTCTTCTTGTGGGTAAAGGTATCAAAAGAATATTTTCCATGATAAGCACCCATACCACTTTCGCCAACTCCACCAAAAGGAAGGGTGTGAACTAAAATCATACAAAGTTTATACTTATATATTAAACTTCTTTCTTTTTAAATCACCATAAAATCTAATACAGTAAAGCCTTCATGATTTGGCCATTTGCATTCCTGAAACAACTGGTAATTCGAATAGGGACAACTCTTTTAATTTAAAGAAACATTAAAACTTGTTTGAATTCAACATTTAAGCATACATTTCAAATTACATCTTGGATTGGTCGAACCTTTCAAACATTTAAAAATAAAACAGAGTATGTTAACATACTGTTTAAAATATTTTTCTTAAATTATAGCATCACTCGCAAGAGTGAGAAGGCTGAGATTCATACACATGACATAGGTCTGCCATGTTAATAAAATATTGAAAATAGCTTTTGTAGGTCATTATATGAAGTTTTCTCGTTAATTAGTTGTTTTTTTTTAAATACACCTCCAATAATCCAGCAATTTTAGTAAACCGACATAATCGATAATTTATGGCCGGATTAGTGAGATCCTACCGTAGTTAACAAAAAAATAGGCTAAATAAATCTTGTCATTGATGTTATCTGCTACATAATTGATTGCTGAACTATAGTTTTTCCTTTCTTGTCATTATCGAAATTAAAACAAATCAAGTTTTATAAACTGGATGGATAAATGAAGTAATTTAGTTCAAAATTGAGAAATCTGGCAACTTTGTTCTTATTTTTCTAATGAAATGACCAAATTTCATTACCTAATCTTAAATTTATAAACGATTACATTCATCACCCTATTACTAATCCTTGCTTATTCCTTTCAAAATAACAATTCCTTTGTTATTAAGTACAGCAATATTTTTCATTACTATATTTCTGCGTATAGATAAGTTAAAGTAAACAAAAAATTTCATGATCAGAACACTTCACATTACTATATATTATACATTTCATACTCAGTGTTCCCATAATAGAGATCTGTGTCAAAAACAATGATTCATCAAAGTATCTAAAATGAGTAATCTTTTGTTTTATACAGTTTTGTTATTCTAAAGGAAATTTATGATAGAATAAAGTTATTTTTTTGTTTCTTTTTCTATTTATTATCACCTTATGTGATACTTTTTTTGTAAAAGCAGAATTTTTTTTACTTTTAAATTTTTGTAAATAAAAAGCATATTTTCATAGTCAGTTTATTACAGTATATCCCAAGTCATATGAAAATAGAAATTAAAACTTTGTAATAATTTATCATTGTTATTTTTGTTGAAAACGCAGGTAAACGGAATACCAAATCACATAATTATTTTACAAAACTAGGAGTGAATCTCAACTTAAGCTCTAAAAAATTCCAACATGATTGATACGAACTTAAAGCTTATCAAACAAGGAAGTTTTGATAAAAGTGGATTATCTGTAGTTCAGTTATAGGATGATAAAAACACTACGAATTATCTATGATTTTATGAAAAACAGAACTTAGCATAGTTTAGCTGTTGAAAAGTCCCCTTTAAATGGTTTCAACAAAGACGAACTCTACTTTCATTTGAAGGAAATTGTATCTAGTTTACTGTGAAGCAATTGTTAATTACATATATTAAATATTTTTTTAATTATCATTCCTATTCAATAGAAATAAGTGAATTACTTTTTTTTAAAAAATCTTAAATTTCCTCCTTTTCTGAACAAAATCAGACCATAGTTCATATGCACTTTTGTAGTTCTTGAAGTCAACTATCATCTTTTTAATAATTTCCCAGTACTTTCATAAAACCCTGTACAGTTGTGTGAAAGTAATAAGTTAAAAATAAATACTTGAAAACAAATGTTCTCTATAAATTCAAATTTAATAGTCAATTAGACAAAATTTAATGTTTTTAAAAAACAAACTATAAAAATGACAAAAAAAAAATACCTCCAAATTGAATCAGAGTATCATTAACAACCGCAGAACCAGATATTGTGTTTTCCAGGAAAAGATCTTGTATTTGCTTGTCTTTAGTGAAAACATATGAAGTAAGAGGGCGATCTCTAAAAAATAATACATACATAAATTTGAAAATTTTAAGTATAGTTTAATAATAAATAATTATTAAATAGAATGTTAAATGATAACAATCATTGTTGATTAATTATACAATGGAACAGAATTTAAAGAAAATCTTAATTGGTTATTGATAATTATATAGTATTTTATTTAATGGTATTAAATAATAAATGGATGATTTTTTTTAAAAATCAAATGTAATTTCAAAAATTATTTTTTTAATATTATGCTATAAAAATATGTATACCTGGCATTGATGAACTTGATGGCTTCGTGAGCATTAGCGACAGTTACGATGGGCATAATAGGCCCAAATATTTCCTCTTTCATCACTGGATGATTTGGGTTAACATTGGTTAGGATAGTAGGGCCAAAATACCTCTCTTTGGGGTCAATTTGTCCTCCGTAGGCAATTTCAGCATTTTGCAACATTTTTTCTAATCTCCTATAAAATTAATACATTGAGTTTAATTTTTGAACAAACTAATGATACTTTTTCAATTTATTAACTAAATGAAATCTAAAACTCAAACATATATAACTGATAAACATAAAAAAAATAAATAAATTATAAAATAATAACAAAGCTAAGTTTCGATCGAAATATTACTAAAGAAGAAGATTTATATTAGGATAGGATAAGTAATAATAATAGGCTTAAAAGTAAATGAAGATAAAACAAAATATATGACAACAAGCCAAAAAATTCCATCCCAATAAGAGGATCTGCATAGAAGGAAAATCGTTTCCAAGTGTAGACCAATTCAAATAACCAAGATCCACAATAATCTCAATAAATGACCAGTAGTCAGAAATAAAACAGCATACAAGTGAAAACAAAGCTTTCTTCTCTATTTCTAAGATATTATAATCTCAAGAAATCTTAAATTTAAGAAGTACAACGCTTTGATAAAGAAATTTTTTAAAATATAATGTATGGCTGCGAGACCTAGACACTAACCAGTACCACAGAAAGAAGTATTGAAAGATTTCAGAGAAAAATACTCAGCATGATAACAGGAGCGATCTGGGATCAGGGAACTAACACATGAAGGAGAAGAACCAATAAAAAAAATTCTTACAGAAACTGGTCAATCAATATCTTATAATATGAAGGCTAGGAGGTTAAGATTAATCCATCAGTAAACCTCAGTAAACAACGATGAATATCTCAATAATAGAATAGACCACGAGGAAGATCGAGTCAACAAAGAAGTTGTAGAGCTGCATGTTGATAACTGGAAAGAAATAGCCCAACATAGGCGGAGGTGGAGAAGGCTGGTTAAGACAGTAAAATACCAACAAGGTCTGTAATACCAACAGAAAGAAAAAAAAAAAAAATATATATATATAGAAAGTAATCTTTCAACAGTTCTTTTTTAGTCTTATCTTTATTTAATCTCTTGTTTTAATTTTGAATAATTTCCTATTTTTACCCAACTAAATCAAATTATAATGTATGTACATAGATATTTATGACTGTTAAGCCAATATAGAATATAACATAAAAATAAATATAATAACATTACTTACTTAAAATGCCTGTCTGAAACTATTCTACAGTAGTCTGGAGAATTAACTGCATTTGGTCCGTACCACTCTTCAATGACTTTCCTCGCCTCTTTGACAAATTTGTCTTGGACTTCTTTCGTACAAAGCATGTAATCCGGGGCAATACACGTTTGTCCAGCATTTATACATTTCCCCCACATAATACGTTTCACAGCATAATTCAAGTTAACTGAATCATCAACATAGCAAGGACTGAAACATTATGAAATTGTTAAAATATATCAACAAAAGTTTTTTTTTTTTTTTTATTTCTTTATGACATTTACAACTGTATTACATAAATACATCAAGTAAATTTGGACATAATTGATATAATGACATGAATACACTTGCTGAGTAACTACCCAATGGTAGCACTCTAATGATATGACATTAGGAGATCACGGGGCCATCTTCTTTTCAGAAACCTCGGAGGGTTATCAGGAATTGAAGAGGAAGCAAGGTTAGAAACGAGAGGGTTGGGATGATTCTGAAGTTTATTATGGAAGGATAGATATCTGGATTGGGCCAGATCTGAAACATAAGGAACATTAAGATCTTTATGGATAATTTTATTAGTGACAAAGTAAGGAGCATTGAGGATTTTACGAAGGATTTTGGATTGTAAGGATTGGATGCGAGAGGAATTCGATAGTTTAGTGGAGCCCCATGGCTCAACTTCGTAAGTCCAAATAGGTCTTATTATAGTCAAGTATATGAGTCTTTTGTAATTAATGGGAAGTTTAGAGCATTTGTCTAGTAAGTGCTGAAGTAATCGGAAACGTCGAGCGGTTTCTTGTCGTTTCAGTCTAGTATGAGGATTCCAAGTTAGTCGTTTGTCCAGGTGGAGTCCTAGGTATCGGATTTGCTCAACAGGGATAAGTGGAGTATTGTTAAAGGAAACTGTAGGACAGGAAGTCGTTGGTTTACGACGAAGGGTAAAGGTAATTTGGTGGGATTTATTGGAGTTTATTTTAATTCTCCAGTTTTGACACCATTCTTCTAGATTTATGATGTGTGATTGAAGCATTTGGGATGCAATTGCTGGGTCATTGTTTACTGATAGGATACATGTGTCATTGGCATATGTGGTGATGACAGTGTTGGGACAGGTAGGGATGTCAGCTGTATAAACTGTATAGAGGATAGGACCTAGGATACTATCTTGAGGAATACAGACTGGGAAAAAAGGGATGAATAGGCGATCAACAAAAGTAAATTTATAAATACACAACATTGAGCTTCATAATCATTCATTTCAAATCTGATCATGGGATACACTATAACCGCATCCTTTTCTGTTGCATTAAATGCTAATAAGTCAACGAACCTTGCAGAGCAATCAAGACAATAAACTTTAGGGAAACATCTAAAGTTGTTCATTTCTAGTAGTTTGGATAGTTGTTTCTTTATATTATTGTGTCGGCGTGTTTCAAGAATCATGCTATTCAGACATTGGCCCAATACATGAGCTGGTTTTTCTGACTCTCGGCCATATTTAAGGCAGAGTGGTCAGGTATAATACATACAGCTAGATTCAGTTATATCACAATACAACTGGATAACCAATTACAAAAATGTAATAATCAACAATTTTATTTGATCCTAAAGAATAAATTGGATATAACAGCTGAGATTTAACTGCAGAAATGAATTTTTACCTAGGAGTAATATTCTCGAATTCTGGTTTGTTTTATAGAGCCACTAAGTACTTTGAGTACAAGACCAAGGCAGCAATACGAGTAGATTCTGTTATTACAATCTGTGCTAAATCAAAGATGAGATCATGGGATAGTAGAATAAAAATAAATAATTCAATTGCAATTTGTATCCTTCACTATAATTTTCAACTATGGGGCTTCAGGTATATTGATAAGCTAGAGAGCGCAAGCTTAAACTTTTATAAATGTTTATTCTCATTAAATAAAAATTGCCCATTCTCATTAATGAGGTTGGAATTTAAAATACTTCGTTTCTCAGTTGTGATATTAAAATTGGCACTGTCTTAGGTGTTAAAAATTTTAAAAATAGAAAGCGACAGATTTCCTAAAATTTGTTTTAATAATTTAAAACAAATACATATTAGTGGCAAAGTGAATCATAAATTCAATTGGCTTAAGCAGTTACTCAGTTATGTTTTGTAAATAAACAGTTCATTCTATAATTAGAAAACAGAGGGTGCATTTCAGCTAGAAATGAATGAAATGATAAGCCTGTTTAAAAGCCATATGCAGGTTAAAGTTTAGGTTAGAGTTTAAGTGAAAGGTTAGAGCTTGATAAACAAAAACTGATTGCCCCTACTATATATTTCTCTTGATATATCCCAATACGTACACAGTGAATGATAAGCATCAGCCTTATCTCGCATTAAATGCCCCGTTCCCTATGACCATAACAGATTAGGTTATCTGGTAACCATAATAATTAACTAACGTTCAATAATACATTATTTTAAGCCAAAAGAAATTTGCATGCTTTATAATCTAAATGAATTAGTTTAGACCTATTTCATATTATATATCATTGTTTATATTTAGGCATACAAGCAGGTGCTTGGTTGTTGCCAGGAGAGGATGTTGTAACTGAATAAATTTTTTTATATATATTAATTGTAAATGTTTTTTATATTAATTTATTGTGTTCATCCCGTATATTATTTCTAAAAGGTGTTTTTTTGTCGGTATGCCAAAACTTCGTCAATTCCTTATCAAATCCAATGATTGACCACTCATTTTGAAGATATTCTTCTCCTTCACGTGCGAAAAATAGTCCTATTACCCCAAAATTTCTGGAAAAAAAGTTATGAAGGAACTCCAGAAGTATTTTTTAAGTAGTAAGTAGTTGTAATAGTTTTCTCTATTGTACCTATTAGATAATTAGAAAGATTATTAAATTACATACAGTACAAAAAAAAAATTGTGAAAATCGGACAATTATTAAAAAAGATACAGTCCATTAGTTTTGGCATACTTAATAATTTCTTCCTTTTTAAAGATATTGCATTAGCTATTCTACTACACTTTTTTTCCTAGCTGATATATTAACTTTATTTTTTCTTAAAGGCATTTGTTTGTTCTTACATTTTATTTTTTTTATTAATTTAGAAAATTCCATGATCGAGGCTTTATTTTATCTTTATTATTTTTCCAGTCCTAGCACTTTATTAAAAATAGGTCCTAGCAAAGTAATTTGAGCAAATATTTTGGTCTATTATGTTAAATGGAATATTGTAATCTACCAAGGAAAAATATTAATTCCTTCATTACATAATACATAGAATCTACTTATTTTCATATTGTTTCGCTATTTTGTTTTATTTATTTATTCCTCCCTTCCTTGCCTTCGGATTTTTCAGGGATGATATATCACAAATGAGCATGCCATTTCTGCTATTAAACAACAAATACATTATCAATTTTGTTTTGTTTTCTCTAAAGCTCTTCTTTTTTCATTATTTTCTTTTCACCATATTAGTCTGATGGCCTTCCATTAACAGATCCTCTTCTTCCCAGATTAAAGTGTGAGGGCCCCAGAGCAGCTTTCTACCTGTACACAAAATCTTTGTAAAACAGATAGTTCTGCTCCGTAACTAACTGGGGAAATTCATCCTCCGTGAGGCCATAGATTCTAATTTTTCTCATCATTTCGACCCTAAGTCCATCCAAGACTGAGCAGTTGACTATGACGTGCTCAGCCATCTCCGGTACTAAGTGGGACATAGGTGTTATGCTATTTCTTCACAAAACAAAATCTTCTGCTAATTATTCGCACAGGCCCAAAAAGTCGTTATTATTGTGGCCAACTATATTTGTATAGGGCATTCCCCAAAAACAAATAAAAATATTCATTCATTCAACTGCAGAAATGAAGATTCTAGACAAGTTTTCCAGTTTAGAAATGACAAAATTTGACTTTATGGTACTTAGAATCAACCATCTTCGACTATTTTTTTTTCAAAACAATTCAATAAAAAGATAAATAATAATAGAATAGAAGAATCAACTTTATTCTGGGACAAAGTCTCTTGAGAATAACAATATTGTACATAAAAATTAACATAACATCTGGCCAAAATGCATATTACAATAAAAAAAAAAAACACTAAAAAAAAAACTAAAAAATAAGTAATAACAAAAGGATTTACATAACTATACTGATATATTAAAGATATAATATGAGCAATAAGGTCCCAATACAGCAAGATAGTTACTAAAAACAATAAACTATGAAATTTTAACTGAAATTTGAAATGAACGACAAATTAGTTTTGTTGTCATACCATTGTATTAATGAAAAAAATAATAATAAAAGAGTGGACAAATATTTACTTTAAATGATTTACATATATAATTTAATATGTTCAAAGAATACAATAATAGTATTGTAAACATTATACAAGACCTATATAATCTAAATCCCAAGATGTAGATTGATCGGTGAAAATAAAAGAAAATATACATATAGACTAGATTATATACCTATATAATATACATGATAAATGACTACCCAGCGTCTCATTGAATCGTAAGGAGGAATTGGAATAAGAGGGTTTTAAATATGGATAAGGATGGTGCATGGCGGATATTAAGTGGGATGGAATTCCAAAAGGTGGTGGAGCTGACAATAAAGGAGTGTTGAAATGAGGCCGATTTGTGGAAAGGGGTATAAAGGTATAGAGATCAGAAGGACGAGATCTTGTTGAGATGACTTGAATAATGGATGGAAATTTTTTATAATTTTAACTTATGAGCTTTCAATTTTGATTAATTAAAAAGGAACCTAAAAACAAATAAAATACATGACATGAGAGGGATCCAGGGTATTTCGTATAGTATATGAAAATTGTTTCCTACATTCATAACGAAGTCATGACAAATATTAAAGTTGAGAAAAATAAACGGTGGTCATTTCTGTTCAAGTAGCTCTTGTAAATTGAGAATTACTAAAGTACAGTGTCAATTACTAAAATGCCTCGACTATTGTCAATTGGCTGCTTAAAAAAGCCTGGCTCTGATGAAAACTTATGCAATCACATCACAGGGTAATGACAGTGATTAAATGAAGGTCAACGCATGACAAACTGTAGGTCAAACCCAGCAACTTGTCTTTTTATGTTGTTCATCCAGGAATAGTTCTCAAGGTCACTTTATTATAAAACTTGCACTATTTCATATATTTCCAGCTGATTCAGAATTAACAATCAATCGGTGCTGAATAATATTTTAATCCTGTAAGTAATTTTATGTCAAGACTCTTGAAACATCTTGAAGTGAACAACAAAAACATACACATACGCAGTTAAATAACATCTATTTATATTTATATTCGTTGAGAGAGAAAAAATAGTTGCTCTCCTTGAACATCTGTTTTAAATATTCCAATCAACAAATAATAAATATTTAACATTCATATACAATAAATAAACGAGGACATGTAAAATTATTATATTCATCATTTTTTATTTATTTACTTGTATTATTTATTTGCATATAATTGCCTCTAATCAATAAGAACTGGTAATATAATTAAAATAATGAATTAAGAATTTATATCAGGAAAAAAAATTATTTTTTTCCTTAGTACAGTAACATATTCAAGAATATACCATTGCGTTAGAACATATAAAATGTAAGTAGAAAAAAAATAACCTATACCACTACAATCCATGAAGAGTCTTGGGTTCACTACTATTTAGGGAAAGCACTATTTCTTGGTCTACGGTTGTGCAAGGAATCTTCTTGCACCGATTTGACCGAGATCACGCTCAACCGCCAAGTTTTTCCTCTTAATTAATTATTTTAATTAAGGGTACCCAATTTGTAGAGGCTGGGTGTGCCCCCAGGAGGGTCTACCTACACAGGGTCAATGAAACAGAATAAATAACATTTCTGCCATGAGCGGGGATTGGAACCTGGGACCTTTAGCATTGGAAGCTCGGTACTTTATCACTGAGCTACTCCACTACTCTATTATTACATATTATCGATTATTGCTAGTTTTAAACTATAAAATGTAAGTTACTAAAATATAGTATGATTTAAATAAAAGAAATACAAATGAAAAAAAAATCTATTTTTTTTTTAATTGAACATATCTCTTCCACTAGTTTATATAATTATTTAATTTTGATTTTCTGGTTGTCAACATTTCAGGCTTTTGGCGCATCATCATAAACAACTTTTTCTTGATTATATTTTCTACTTTATATAATAAAACAAATTGAAACATTTAACTCTTTATAATTTTTAATCCACAATGTATATATTGTCAATCTAAAAATTGTTTACACAATAGAGTTCAAACTCACACTACATTTTTTATGCACAGAATAGCCGTTGTTGAACAGAATCAGTATGACTTTGAAAATGAGCTACTTCATTTACCAAACAAATGTAATTTTACAGTGTAAACAATTTTTAGATTATGACAAAATGTAGGTTGTCGATTAAAAGTGACAGAAGAGATGAATATAGCAAATTTTTTTATTATAGACAACGAAAATATAACTAAGGAAAAATTGTTCATTAAGACAGGCCGAGAGACCGAAACATTGAAAACAGAAAATAAAATATTTATATAAATTATCTGAAGAGATAACTTAATTTAAAAAACTCGGGATCACTATACAACTCTTCCTCATAAGATAAAAAGTGGAAAAAGATAAAAAAGTATATTCAAAATAACTGCTTTAAGTGTTGAATCCTGAGTGGTGTGTTAGTTTGCCATTTCAATGCTATGGAAATCATAGCGGATTGTTATTCACTAAAACATTATCTCTCTCCCCTGAAGAAGTAATCTTTCAATATAGTATTGCCAGTTCAAAATTTCGTGGGCATAGAATTTATTGGGCCGTGCTAGAGCGAGCGAAGCCGCATGATAATCTACCTACCCAGAAACTAACACAAGTTATTTTGACCAAAAATAATAATGTTAAAGTTGGTCTTTCCTTTTCCTTATACCCTAGAAATTGAGATTTGATATGTTACAATGAAATATTTTTTTACTATCCGAGGATGTAGTCTGCACTTATTATCATAATCCCTGGAATGATTACATACCTCTTGCCTCCAAGTTCCAGCGTTACTGGAGTTAGATTTTTGTTAGCTGCAGCATAAATAATTCTTCCAACCACAGTTGAGCCGGTATACATTATATGATCGAATTTTTCTTTTAAAAGCTCGGTTGTTTCTGAAACTCCTCCTAAGCATACTTGATAAGCTTCCTGTAAAACATCAGTGAATTAATTAAACAGTTTAAAATGGAAATATTATTATTATTAAATAAAATTTAATTAGAGAAATAAAATAAAATGATAAAAAAAAACAAAAACTTTCAGACATTTCTTACCTAATAACTGAAGGAGTTAGTAAAATTTTGCAAATCACAAGACAGAAAATAAATCTCTATTTTTACTTTTAATAAGTAAGTAAAAACAAATATTTAAAGAGGTGATAGAAGACCTCAAGACCTTTAAACAAATTTATATAAACTATGGTCTGATTTTGCGCAGAAATTCAAAAAATCAAGGTTTGTATGTATTTAAGTAAGTCATGCTTTATCTTTCATATGAAGCGATAAATCAGAAAATATTAAATTAAAAAAATTAACAACTGCTTCATAGTAAACTAAACAAAATTTTCTTCAAATACAAGTAAAATTTGTCTTTGTCAAAGCCATTTAAATTGGACTTTTAAGGAGCTAAACTATGCTAAATTCTGTTTTTCATAAAATCATGGAGTGTTCGCTATTTTTTTTGTCATCCTACAAATGGATTACAGATAACTCACTTTTATATAAACTTCTTAGTTCCATAAGCTTCAACTCTAGTTGTATAAAATAATTATGTGATTTAATATTTTGTCACCCTAGAGAAGAGGTCTCTATTGTTACTCACCATGAAACGCCAATTTTTTATTTTTTTTATTGGTAAAATTTTGAAAACTATTTAAAAAGTGTAAAATAAAGTAAATCATTCAAAGACGCGGTAACTACAACATTTATTACATGAGTTGTTTCTATTAGAAAACCCATTTCACAACAGAAATATTATTTATAGAACAAGATATTTTTTTACTTTTACTTACGTATATAGGTAATATATAGTAAGTCAAAGTATTGCGATCGTGAAAATTTTCTAATTTTAGTTTTCAACGGAAATACACGTTTTGATGTCCTCTGAGTCCAAATAACCAAGTCTCGCAAAATGGTCTGTATGTATGTGAACAGTCTAGCACAAAAACGAGAAGTCGTACGAAATTGATATTGTGTATTTAAGATAGGTATATGGTTTGGATATGGCAACTTTTTCCTTAAAATCGGCTAACTGGAGGTGATACTTTATATAAACGGTGAAATACATTTTTACAATTTTCTCAAAAACGGCTCCAACAATTTTGATTAAACTCAGTGAATCATTGTATAATTAAAAGGTGTTTAGGTTTATTATTTAGGTCCATGTACATTTAGGTCTTATCCCCATTGACGTCGATTTACAGGGCTTAAATGCATTAAATTAGTTGGTACTCCGTGGGAGCAAAATTTAATGCTCTACAACTTTGATTCTATGGGTTTTTCTTCTTAAGGAACTCATTTCCAAGTTGCAAGGCCATTTATAGTAATTTGTCTCAATTTTTGACAAATTTGATAAAAAATCAGCGCTGGTTGACCGTGGTTTTATACCTTACCACGTAAACAAATTATAAAGTGTATGTACTCGTTCGACGCACAATTAAACGTTCTTTAATTTATTAATGAGTACATTTTTCGCTTTGAAGCATCGTTTAAAAGTTATAGAAGAAATATATCGAAAAAAATCTGACTTTTTTGGCTGCAAAAAGTTTTCCCTTGGTGGCCCGCGTGAGCAATTTTGTTTTGTACATTTTAAAACCCATATATAAACGTTAAAAAAATAAAAACTTTTTTCAAATCAGCAGCCATTTTTTAAAGCATCGGTTCTGGAACATCAGACAAACTCCATTTTACTTAAAATAACATACAGTTTCGTAATTTACAATCAAACCTTCGCCTGTAATGAGGTCGATTTTTGTGCCCTGGCTCCAGGACTATCTATCACGAATAAAATGCTTCCCTACCTTCGGCAGTGAGGAAAATTATAAAACGTTCAAAAATAAAATATAAGGAAGTAATTCGGTCGTTAATTTTATTACTGTTATTAGATATAATATTAAGCCTTTTTTTTTTTTATTCTTATTGTTAGGGCATTGCGGTACTACCTATAATTGGGATAATTAAAGAACCAAATTACCATGTGTAGAAACACATCAAAAGAGATAACTACGATAATTATACATTCATAGAAGGAAGCAAGTTCTGCGAGCCAAGGTGAGCGGGTAAAACAGAAATTGATATTTCTAACAAAGAAGATGTGAAAGAGAGCCGAGTCACCCGAAAGATTTAAGACCTGTTTATCAAGAAAATATCTTTACTAGCATACTCAAGTCATAGCAATCAACAAGTCAACATCATGAATAATTCTTTTTCTTATTATTCATTGGTTACGAATGGCGATAATACTGCAGTTGCACGTGCATTCCAGTTGCTGAAATGCTATCCTATCAAACATCGAGATGCATAGTACTTGGTTTAGACCCTAGTAAGGAAAGGAGACTCTGACAGTGGACCCTAGAATTAGTCTTTCAACGAACGATGAGGATCAAGATCTCAGAACACAAATAGACAAGGAGGAGATATATTGTCGGTTTAATTGAAGAGAAGATTGGTTGGGGTGATCAGTCAAAAAATAAATAAATTAATAATAAATATATAATATTTATTTTTGCCGACGTTTCGGCCTAAAGTTCAGGCCTTCGTCAAGGCTGAGAAAAAAACAGATAACAACAGATATGAGAAACTATAAACATTAAAAAGAAAAAAAATATATGTAGATGAAAGGTACAGTATAAAAAATCTGTTGCGCGCATCACACGACTATCACTTAACCCCCTCTTCTTAGCAAAAATGAGTATTTTCAGACACAGGGAAAGTGGAAGTAACAATCATAGACGCTATATTTATTTATATTTCATTTTGGGCATTTTTATTTGTATAAGTACACGGGTATATACAAATTTTAATATTTATATCGCTGTAATCTATACAATTAAATATTAAATAATACCAACAACAGCATTTATGAAAACCGCATATGTATATTTACATCGCCCGAAACATTAGAACACGCATACAAGCGTGTTCTAATGTTTCGGGCGAGCTCGGGGTATTCCTTTGGTTCCTCAATTACAACTATTCTCCGTTACGTGCTCTTATTTATCAAATTCTTTCTTATTTTATATTTAACTGTCTTTTATATTAAAGATTAATGTGAAATGGTCAATTGTTTCAAATAAAAAAATTAAAGCTACTTTAGGGGAAGCTAATAAAAATTATCCATTTAAGCTCTGTTAGAGAATATCGATTAGAATAAAACCTACATTTTATTTAAAACTGCTTAATTTTACACTGATAATTTAATGAATTTAATCAAAATATTTAGAGCCACTTTTGAGAAAACCGTAAAAATGTGTTAAATCGATCATATAAAGTACCACTTCCGGATTGCCGATTTTGACAAAAATATTGCTGTAACATCGAAAGCTTTTAAAAATATTTTAGCAATTTCACTTTCATACAACATTTCGTTTTTGAGGTAGACTGATAACATAAATATATACATACGCACAAACCATTTTGCAGGACTTGGTTATTTGGACCCAAAATGAATTGTAAATAAATACAGCGTCAATAATTTTTACGTTCACTTCCGCTTCGCCTGAAAATACTTATTTCTGCTAAGGGAAAGTCGTATGATGCGCGTATCAGATTTCCATTTATATTTCAATAAAAATCATGGAAGCTAGTATTTTTATTCGTGTCTAAACTTTAGGAATATATGAGAATAGTGTCAGACATTAAAACATAGAAATTTGAATTATCATAACACTTCGAACATTATTTAAAAAAAAGAAGCTTTTTGCCACTCTCAGACCACTGTGCGTCGTCGTTAGACTCGAGAATTCAAGTTGAGCCAATAAAATTTTTGAGGAGGGCAAATTTCGACGGAGTTATGAATGTTCGGTCTAAGGGGCAAGCGTAATTGTATATGATCTACGATTTTTTCTAATTATATCTAAGCTTGCTCTGTTTTTAAGGAAAAATAAGCAATAAAATATTTTGGGAGGAGGAATGGGAGAGAGGTAGGTTCTTTCGTCATCGACCTTGGGGGAGATGGGTACCTCTGTCGGCGATCACCAGGACTTAACGCCCTAATGTTTTTGTTCATATAAAACATATGTACTTTTTTTTCTTTAGCAAATATATTAGTGAGATCGGAGTGGCCGAATGGGTTAACGCGAGTGCACAGCACCGCGAGTTGCCCGGCAACCAGTTAACAGATATGAGAGATTCAAAAGCATGAGTTCGCGTCCCGGTGCCGGAGGTGATTTTAAATTCCTCGCCCTCACCCCTAGGCCAGGGAAAATCTCGTATAGCCTAAAAGGCGAAGCAAGGAAGAACAGGGGGAAAAAAGTAAATATATTAGTTCGTGTTAGTTAAATATTAAAGAAACTTCCATATTATAGACAGGCCCCGCATAAGAAAATTCTTTTATAAATAACCTTGGTTCCAAGCAAGGTGAACCCCTCTAATTACATACGATTTATATAGTTGTGCAACTGACACGAACACTAAATAACCGGATGTTATTCCATCTCAATTGCATTCTGTGAACAATTGCAGTTAATTCCATGAGAACGTTTCCACAAAGATCGTGTCTTTGAGGTTTTTATTATATTTATCTCGTGGTCATGAGTCTATATGTTAAGTATAGTAAAATAGTAAAGTGATGTAGTTTCAGTAAACCAAGAACTAAAGGAAGGAACTTGCATTAAGTTCGAAACAAGTTGTATTTTTAGGTCAAATAATAAGCATCTTATTAATTTCATTTACCTATATATGTAATATATAGTAAGAGAAAGTATTGCGATCATGAAAATTTTCGAGTTTTCAACGGAAATGCATGTTTTGAAGTCCCCTTAGTCCAATTAACTAAGTCTTACTGAATGGTCTGTGTGTATGTTAACAGTGTGTTAAAAGCCTAATTTTCAAAATTTCGTCCTCTAAACTACATTTAATTTTTTTTAACCATTTCAAATTATTATATACTATAAAAAATAGCTAAATATAAAATATGAAAGAATTCGATAG